GGCCCCGGATTTTGACGGTTAAATCTCAAGTGTCTGGTCGTAAATTCCCCATTGAGCAGCAACCTGGTTGTGATACTGCTTCGTCGACCTGGTTTGTTCATAGCTATTCTCACAATGGATCGTTTCTTTGATCCCTTTGGAATAGGTACAATGTGGGGCCCCCTAGTTATAAGTTGGTTTATAACCCAATCTAACTATAGTTGGAACTACCATAAACCCTAGTTATTGTAGTTATAAACCAACTTAGCTATCTTGGGGGCCCCACTTTGTAGAAGCCCAATCTCTACAATCAACCAACAGGCTTTGACACGTCCTGAGACGAAGGTTTTTGCGGTAAAGATTTTTGTGAAATCACCAATTTTCTGAGGTAAATCCACCAAGTTTATCCCTAAATCCTTCGCTCAATATGGCTTACATTAATAATCCACCATCAATGGGTGGTATGAATCCCATGATAGGATCATAAAAGCCAGCATTTATTCATTTATTCTCCAAATTAACCATGTAATCCCATGGGTTTTGAATCCCAACTGTCTGATCTATGTTAACTGAGGGGATGATACACTTACCAATCCTTCCCGCTTCCGCGCCTCCTCGTGCGGCTTCTTGCGCCCTGATCAACGCTTCTCGCGCCACTTTCAGGGCACCGCTCGTCACGGTGGCCTCATTTTTTTTCGTCGCGCAACCCTGGGGTTGGAGTTCGCCAAAAATGCGGGAAATGCATGGAAATGCTGAGTTTATGAGTGAACATGTGAATCTTCAGGTGAAGTTCATGAATGAAAAATTGGAATTTTTAGTGGGATTTACAAGTGAAAATGGTGATGAGTGTGGTAAAAACTGGGACTTGAGTACTTGAGGACTCGAAGCATCAAGATCCCAAGAATTGGGATACAAGATGATTCAACCACCCAATAAACGGATTATATAAGAATCACGGAGTTTCAGACAACAGTCATGATATAATCAACCAATAAATACTTGGGATGGAAGCCACAACACAGGGGATGGAACCATGAACAAATGGTGACTTCCAGCAACTTTCTTTGAGAATGTCCAGACATTGACACAGAAAGACAAAGGAGCCGGGATTTCAACTACCAAAAGATTTTGACCATAACAAGTTCAAATTTGACCCATAGAAATTGGGATTTAAGCAACAAATTCTAAGGGAAAGATGAAGATTTAAGCAAGATGCTACAAGCCTGAGACATCGATGAAGAAAGATTTGCAAACTGCCTTTCCCGGTTGCATCATTGGTGAAACATCAAAGAGAACTGAAGAGAGGTCAAAGAAAACGGTACATTCAAGGTAATCAGGCCCACACTACACATGGGGAAGTTCCAGCTTTGCAAAACTTCTAGCGACCGAACCTTGTTGATCCTCCATGTCCCCATGCAATAATCCAAACAAACGGCTTGTCCATCTATGGGTCCTCCGATCGAAATAATATCGAGTCTGAAATAGTTGGTGCGTGTTGTTCAAGCCCGTGTTTTGCTGATCAAAACCCAGCGTAGTTTGTTACGTTGAATTCGCATCTTTTCCCTGGCTTGCTTTAAAAGAAAAATCAACAGAAAAAGCATTCCTGCGATTACTTGGCTAAGAGTAAATACCTTGCTACCCTAACCCCAACATAAGTGGCAAATTGATGTCCATCCCCCTAAATAAGGTAATGTAGGTGTTGACACATCCCGATTTATCCCACCAATTCGGGACTTCTCGTCATTTACCAACACTGCCACAGAATGACACTCTGCCCCAAGTGACTCCAGCGGAGACTACATCTGCCGAGCTGGACGAGCTAGTGGGCGCCTGCAGCAGCAGTGAATTGGGAAAATCCATGGGACAACCATGGTTTCAATGAAGGTTTTTGACATTTGTTGATCCCTAAATTTCGAGTTTTAACATGTTTCAACCCTAGATTCTTCCCTTCGACCAAGCCTGGGAAATCTGGGATGTGCACCCCAAAGCACAGGAAATTCCGGTTCTATTTTGTTCATAAAGTAGACCATCGGATGATAAAAAAAATATGGGACATGCTCATGTGGCAAGCTAGCTTGCGTTCAAAACGTTTGATCCTGACACTTGGGTCACACACTTAACTAATCCAAATGTCCAAACAATCACCTAACTTTTTCTGCGCTTTGCATTCCTGCTCTGAAAATGACCCGCAGTAAGGCTCCAATCCAGAGCTCCAAAGCTTCAGCGTTGGCACCAAAATTGGTCATCCCCAGAGTTGATAGGGATTCCATGGGAGTCCCATATTGCTTTCTCCGATTTGTCCAAAGCATAACGGCTGGTTGATCTGGTTGGTGGTTTCAACACCTGCGAAAAATATGAGTTCGTCAGTTGGGATTGTTATTCCCAATATGTGGAAAGTCATAAAATTCATGTTCCAAACCACCAACCAGTGATGTAGCGACTTTTGGTGATAACCATTTCCATACCTGAATCTTTGTCGGAAAATACCCCTTGATTCCATGATTTTTCATCATGTTTCCGA